CACGGCAAATCTTCGTTCGCTCAATGCTATACGATCATAAATAGCAATAGGTACGTGATAATACTAATTTTCCAATTTGCAATAAGCCGATTGTATATACGGTATGTATCGATCACGACCAGAGTCATAATGGAATCTAATCACGTGACACCATTGATACGTCCAACCTGTTAATAATCGTGAATAGCGATGAATTACTATAATGTCATGATAACACGAGGTTCTGTTTCATTCTAAGCTACCAGGTTTAACCAACCGCCTGATTAGCGCGGTCTTACTTTGGGCTCTAGCTTATTAGGTAGTTAATTAATTTCTGCGTATTTTTGATTTTCAAATTTTTATCGAAATAAAGTAAATATTTACAATAAGGGAGCCACCTCCGATTTCGATGATTTGTCAATATATTGTCAAGGCAATCACCCTGGGTAGTGTTGTAAAGGTTTTAATTGGGGGTCGTTGTTTATCAAAAAGTTATTAACAAAAACATTTCTCCGAAACCGTTTATTTAGTTTTGTTTACTCATGTCAGTATATTTTCTGTTACTGAGTAGTATGTCCGCCATTATTTTGAAAAAACATCTAATCTTTCGTCAAAATCAGAACTATTTCTAACCAATTCTGTATTACTTTCTTTCTTGGACTGTCTCTAACCAACTCCGATCAGTATAATGTTTCAAAGTTGGTTAGAGACTATTCAAGAAAATGGTATCATGTTTCTCTTCATAATTTTTTAATAAACAACATTTGATACATAAAACTTTCTGAAAATTACTGAGAAGGATGGCTTTGACAACATATTAAAAAATCATTGAAATCGGAGGTGGCTCTCTTATTGTAAATATTTACCTAAAATAATATCAATATAATTTTTCTAATTTTAATTTTAATTTTACAACTCCAAGCTACTTTGCAAGTTCACAATCGTTTGGGTCGGATCTTTTTCCAACAAATTCAAATATAATCAGTTTCCATTTCAGTAGTAAAATTCTGAGCAAAATCGCCGATTCCGTGTGCAACGACCTAATAAAGTAACATTAAAGGAGAATAGAGCAGAAGCTACAACTGGTTCCCAAAATTCATTTAATTATTCAAGCATGGAGAAAATGTTAGTCCGCGACCTTAATCGCAATTTAGTTTCCGAACTCTAAGCGGCGAAAGATCGATTAAAATAAGGGGCTAGTAAAGTTATGGGCCATCTCGTATACGGTGTACCCGGTGGTACAAGCGAACAAGAGAAATAAAATTTTTGTTTCATATCGAGCTTAGTTTAAAAAAATATTCAATTTGAAAATTCTAATGTACATACTTCAATGCTATTTAACTCATATTCACAGATACAGGAAATATATGTATAGCCGTGTCGAACTCCTTCGCGTAGTGGTATATCTATTCAAACCTGATTATATTTCTATTTGTGGTAATTTGTTTATGTTTCTCTGACTAAAAAATAGGCACACGGAAATGAATGGCGCGTTCGATGCAACAACGGTAGCATCGAGCGGAAAATGAAAGACATTTCCGTCGCAATTTCCGACTGTGTGGCGTTTCGCGTCGCCAAAACTTCGACAGAGAAGTCTATTATCAGATAGTCTGGTCGAAGCCGAGTTTCCGAAGAAATAACACGCGGGACGAAGAATGATATCCTTCACGCCTTATTAAAAAGAGCATTTTCATAAAAAAAAAAAAAGACAGAACAAATATATTGTCTTTTGTTTTTTTCATTTCTTATAATTAGAACATATACAGGGTGTTTCGTGTATCTTGGACTCGTTAACACAATATCATTGTTATTTTTACCGACACGATAAATGTTACGCTTCTCACCCCTGTAACTACCTCAGTAGCAACTAATACCAATCAATTTTTCTTTTGCATTAAAGCTGAGGCTTTGCTCTTTTAAATATAACCAGAATGAAAACTGAACTCTACTGAATTCATAATTAAAATCAAGACTGAGGATGGAAAATATTCAGTAATGTATAATTCAAAAAATATCAGAGGTATTTGGGGTCAGTTTTCAATTATTTTCTAGTTGTCATTAAACTGAAAGAGGCTTTAAAGTTGAGGAATTATAATCAGTAAAGTTTTACTATCGATGTTCCATCAGGATTTCATTTTATTATTCCAGAGGAATTTTTCAAAATAGAATAGTTCTAAAACTAGTTATTTGGCCCATACCTCCCTTATGAGGGGAGGTTTGGGTCATATAGTGGCAATAAATGGATCATTTAGTTTTCAAGAACTTCGAGGTTGACCTTTTGAAAGCCGTGTAGCCGCATTAAAAATTAATGAATGTGGAAATAAATCATACCAAATTTTAGCCCAAAGGTTCATTTGTCAAAACAGTATCTCAGTATGACGATATTTTTGTAAACGATTTTTTATCGCGTTTGGGATGCATCTATCCCACTGTGCGACGTCGGTTTTATTAGAATACGGTACGGAGTAAAAGTACGAATATGCGTTTAATCGATCGACTTCGTGGTGGTGGTTCGGTTACTACTTTGTTTTCATAATGAATTATTGAAAAGGGTCGCGATACTTCGCGGCAACTTCGAAGAAATGAAAAACACCCCCGCCACTGAATAATGGATCCGGCGCGAGAGTGTTTTGATAGTTATGCAAGTGGTAAATATAGACGGATCAAAGATAATACGTTCAATACGGATCAAGATAGACCGTTGCGATACAAAATGGAAAGCGAACAGAAATAAAACGTTATTTCAGTGAGAAGGAAAAGTTTCGATTCGACGCTTCTTTTCTTAGTTCATTGTATAGCGATGCTTGTTCGATTTGTCGTATAACGCATACGTGTGCGTCATGGAAAGCTCTGATCGTGCGTCTAATAACGAAAACATATGCGCCATGGTTCCTTATTGAACAAACTTTTCACTGGAAAAAAAATCGATAATTATTTACGAAAGGGTACTCCTAACCGATTTCGATGACCTTGAAATATGTTGTCAAGGTCATCATTCTAAACGATTTTTCCCTATACATGTTACCGTCGTTCAGACTTAGTTTCTGATATATGCGCAGAAATATTGTTTATACAAAAAATATTTTTTACATTTGCGAGCAAACTCCGCTAGGGGAAAAAGTGACCATTGGGGGGGGGGGGAGTGCCATTTGAGTTAAGGTAAAAAAAGGTTCAAACAAGAAACTACCGTACTCAGTCAGTGGATTTTCATGGTGCCGATTAAAGGTATACAGTAAATCCTCGATAAGCGTTCGAAGGCTTCTCGGGCACTGACAAAGAGAGATCCCCAGGTGTACCGCTGACGTTTCTAACGAGGTTTGGCACAGTCATCGAGCTTGGAATTCCGAAGACAATGATATTTGTTTCAGCAGTATACGGTCGTCAGTTTATGAAATATTTAATGCTCACCGCTGAGGAGCCTTGGAACACTCAAGATTTACTGTACGTATATCGCCTCGGCACAAGAGCCTCGGGAACAAGAACACGAGACAATAACAATGTTCTCCACTTTGCCTGGTTGGTACGTAACCAGAAAGAACCGGCGTGAAACTCGTTTCAAGAGTCGCTTTCGATAGATCGACGAGCCTGCTCGACGGTTTGCATAATAGCTGCATCCATCGGCGACATTAGCATACCACAACCGTGACGGCTTTCAGCACGGACGATGGTAGCGGCGTGTATTCAACGGTGAGCGACGCAACCCAGCGTCGCAACAAAAGCTCTCGGGCTCACGCCGCTAAACGCGATAGGGTGAAAATCCAACGTCGGCTGGGGGTGTAAAAATAGAGAGGCGAACGGAGGCCTGGTTGCTTGCCGCGAGACAGCCGAGGCTTTTCTATCGAGATCCCCAGAGGTATCCGACAAAACACCTCTGAGGCGCACGTTTTGTCGGACGCGCGCACGAGCTTACGGCTCCGCCGGAATCGGCGAACAATAAGACACGCGAGATATATATGTTACTTGCTTCCCGGTCGAGAGATTGCTGTCAAAGAGACCTCGACGCCGCCCATTCAGGCGACACAAAGATCTCCGATTCACTTCTGACGACAAGCTGTGCAGCTGTTTTGTCACCGGCAGGGTATCGGTTGGTCTTTGCTATTGGAATTCAGTGTTTCACGGTTAGTTGACAAAGTGCATACTGTCTGGAATGAGTTAGTCGTTTCTTTGGGATTTTTCCTGGTGATGTATAGAGGGTCTGCTCGAGTCAGCACGGTTATGTATGGAAGCCTGATAAGTCCAAGTCTTTAGGGAGGATGAACCACAGACGAGGTATAGGATTAGACATTTCATCCAATGTATTTTTGCGGCCCAATTTCATGGGGTTACGTACCCCATTTCCATTTTAGTGTCACTACCCACCGCAGATTCACCGTTCTCAAAATGTAGAAGTCCCTAAATTTTTTGAGATGAATTTATTAAACTAATCTCTTTGGACTTTGAGAATACTTTACTCTACGAGTAACGGTACATCTCCTGCACCTTTGTGTTACTAAACAAAACGAAATGTGCATCAAACGATCTACGTACAAGTTGACTACAACCAAAAAGGTATCTGTTAGCCATTGTCTGATTGTAAAAGGAACGTCGAATGAATACTTCACGCGTTGCTGCCAGTTTCTCAATAAATTCACGTCATGATGTAGTGCCGCTCTTATGTACAAAGAAACATCCCGCAGTGCCCATTCCCGTACTTCTTTTCAGAGCCAGAAGACGGCAAGATCAATCACCTCCACCCCCACCGCTACTGCTGCTATCCGTTATTACCGTGCACACCTTTCAGAGATTCTCTTCACGCGTAAAATCGCCCGGTCGAAGAACATTATCAAGAAAAAGCCCAAGAAGCTTCAGCTAGCTTAGACCGTGTACTCGGTCAAAACACCACGAGCACAGCCGATCATCTCGCAACACATCGCTCTTTACGCTAGATGATCTACGACCGCAAAAAAAAGGCGACCCACGACGTCGTTCCAATCAATATTTCGATCGGTCTAAAGAAGAACTCCAGACATCGTGATACTCACACAGTGAAATGATAGACGAAGCAGATCCAACCGCCTGGATGCTCGAGGAACACGTACAGTCGTTCCTGGAAGGTCTTCCCCTTCTTGTGATGGAACACGTACTTGGCTTTGAACGCCTGGTCGATCGGCAGATAAATCGGGTAATAGGGATCAGGCACGCCGGCTTGATTCAAACTGGGCGGCTCGACCTCGGTCGCGTTCATCTCGCTGTCGATAATATCGTCCTTGCTCTTTTTCCGCCGGTACTTTCTCTTCATCGGCGTGGGCACCCTCTTGTGATGGGCCTCGCCGAATCGCGGCGAACGGAAGCGTCTCAGGAAAGTGAAACGACGGCCAGGTGACGACGGTTCCTCGATTTGCCCGCCGTTGTCCTCGGTGTCCTCGGTCTCGCTGCCGGGCGTTTTCAGGGCCGCGTCCTCCGAGTCGAGACAGTGCTCGGCGACGAGCTCGTCCTCGCTGCCCTGCAGGGCAGCGTAAGCAGCCGCGGCGCTCGATCGCTTCTCCGTGAGCCTAGAGCATTGGTCCTTGCTTCGTGGAAGACTCTCGATGTTCTCACCTGGACATTGTTCCAGGATATTGACGGGTGTGTCTTTGGGAGATCGAAACCAGCCGCGGTTTCCTCGAGCGTTTTCTGGTAACCCCCCGCGAATCCTATTATTTTTACTGCTCCCATTACCCTTCTGGGTCTTTTATGTACATACCTAGTTGCTTCGGTCTTATAGGCTTCCAAAAAATCTGAGAAAATTCAGGGATACTTTCCAGGACCTCTACTATATGATTCGATTCTTTTACGGGGTCTTGCCACTGGTGAAGCCCTGAAAAATTGTTATTCCTTCGGATACTTTTTTCAGTGAACTAAATGGTCAACATAAATGTTGTCTATTTATTAATACACTTATTGACAGTACATCCATTTTTTTCGAAACTTCTAGTAGTTTTTCTTTGTATATTCAGGGTGAACCACGAATAGTGATCAATGGAGATTACTCTGTTATTAGCAGTCCGAATCGAAAATGTTTTTATCAGGTATATGATGGTTTCAAGAGAGCTTTAACGTGATTATAGAAAATTTTTTGTTAACCCTTTTTTTCATGATTTTTCAAAGTCACCTTCAATTTTTTGCAAATACACCTATTATTTTTTCACGCCTATCTGTTAGAGGATTTCAAGACGAATTCGGTACGTATCATAACATAACATGTGTTACTTTTTTTTTTAATTGAATTTTTGAAAGAAAATTGAACATTTGGTTCGGTGAAAAAAAATTCCCCAAGAATTACAAATTTTCAGGGCTTTACAGTGGCATAACCCCGTAAAAGTTGAATGTGTTGAAAACAACGCGTTCCATTTAAAGGAATTAAAATTTTTTAAATTTTCAGGAACTATAATTTTTGAAAAATAAGAAAAGAAAATTGCATTCGTAAATTATACCATAGCAAATGAACGAAATTCAGCGAACACAGTTTTACGAGCTAACTCGAAATAAATATCTTAAACAATATATTTTATCAATATTAGTATGAAGACACCATAACATGCCCGTTTACTTGAAAACCATTTATTTGACATCCATTTTACAGATTTTGTCCGTTCTAAAGCAGTTATTTACAATACAACTTTTCTACCATTCTATCATAAATAGTTCAAAATTCGCATGAACCACGATAAACACCTTGTACAGTACATGTACCCATTAATAACTCACGAATTAAAATTCCTCCGTGAAAATAATTTTCCTACGAAGAACATTTCAACCATTATCCATCGAATAATGGTACCCGATATCTGGGGATAGAATGCTCGCGAAGTCTATTAATAATCGTGCCACAAATTAATTACAAATGTAGGTACAGCACACATTCAATTAACCTTCCAAACCACCAACCCCACGTTTTTGTTCTCTCGTGCAAACATTTCTCTCTATGTTTATTGAATCGGAACCGGCCGATCCGAAACGTCACGGCCGTCAGTAGCCCGCGGTGCAATATTCACAATCTGTTATTCCGACAAAACCCATCAGCAGGCCTATTGAACGGGAAAGCCATTTTCATAGTTATTCTACTGCACGGCTATTCAATTCTTCTAATTGACTTCGTACCGAAAACTCGCCAGTTAGTGTTTTACGAACATCTCGCCACAGGCTACGCTGCTGATCCTCGATTCTCGAACCCTTTTGTGTAGTGTGTCGTCTACCGTTGTCGCGTGTTTACCCTGCGTTCATTGTACGCCGTTCCGGGCCGTGTAATCGTGCCTTTGTCGAACGGGAATCGACGAAACGATTTTCGCGCGGCGTCCCTTTCTTGGGACGAATCGCAGCCCCGTTTGCGCCCCTATCAATGGCGCCGCCACGAAACGGGGATTCTATCGGTAACGATGCAACAACTCAACGTGTCTATCGTGTCCTTTATGGGTGTAGGTTGTGTGTATTGAATTGTGTCAGATGAACAATGAGTTTCTAGGAGGTTCAGGATGAGAGTTTAGATTCGATGATGGATTAATGTGAGAAAGCAGTATCGGTACAATCCTTTTGCAAAGTAAATATTTAGATAAGATAACGTGGAATAGGTAGTTTGTGAACCCGATAGAACATATCACGTTACATGAAAATCAAAAATATCATAGTTATGAAAAATAATAATCAAAGTATAAAAATAAATATTAACAAAGTATATGTTTGCAATGAGTTTTATTGATTTTATTTCGCGGTATCATAAGTTTCAAATTGCCGTCACCTTTGTAAACGTAGCGAAACTTTCCGGTTCCAGCGTATATAATGCATGATAAGACACTGGAAAGAGCCGAACCAAGTTCTTGAAATACTTAAAGTAATCCTTCTTATGACCTTCAATCCTTAAATTAAGTCTCAAACTACCTAATATTTGAAGGAATTGATTATTGTCATCATAACTGATGAATTGATAAAAATTCTTTGTTGAAATAAAAACATCCCCTCCCCACTTTTATTAATTATCAACTTAATTGCATAAATTATCATTCAATTTTTACTATAACCATTTTTTTATATCTACAATAATTTTAAAGATATACAGGGAAATATGGAAACACCTATCTACCTTCAAGGGATGTTTTCACCCTAAAAAACTGAAAGTCGGCCAAAAATAAAAATTCCGCTATACTTCTCTTGAGGTCCCTTACAAACCTGCAAAGTTCAAAATAAATCGGAATTTTCAAGTTGCCGAACTTCCCTTGTTAGACAGAGCAACCCCCTTAACCCTACAACTCCTGAGCCTCGAACTGTCACGTAAACGCCCAGAGGGGTTGGGTCCTCGGACCCACACTTCTTCTCAGATAAAGAAAATGAATCTCGAGCAGAATCGCAGTCAAAACGAATCAATGGAGGTTGTGTTCCTCATCTGCATTACAGCTGTCGGATAAGCGATATAATGCATGACCGTGGTTTTCCACGGATCGAAATAAAAATGCACAGGCTGTGCACGTGGACGGTTAGATACCCGTACACGCTACGCCGATAAATTGCTTCGAATTATCTGCACGCTCATCGGCGAGAGCTTCCTCTTCTCTGCTCCGAAGAGCAGCTCTCCTTCCACTATAGCGTATAGATAAATTTTAACGATTACGTGCAATTTCCCCGGGACATTAACGAACGAAGAATCGGAAGTTCGAGCGGCTATAGCGGTCCGCGAGATATTCATCGAGAAGCACTCTCCACGACCGAAACGGATTTCCCGGTTCCGAAAGGAAAGAAGGGAGCGAATAAAAAAAAAAGGAGCGGTCTGCCCGTTTCGTCGATACTCTTTGTATTGGCTGCTTCCTTGACATTGTCGTGTAACCTAAATTTTGCAGGAGAACCAGCCGGGATTCAATCGACGATTCGAGGAACCGACATATTGTTGGTGGAGGAGACTGGGACTAGTCGTTACATTTTTCAGGTTTTTATTTCTTATTTTTTCTTTGCTTTCCGTCTTCGATATCATTAATGACTAGACTACGGATTTTATGCATTAAGAGAGACGAAATAACAAAAAATATTAGCATCATAAAGGACACATTGACAGAGTATTCATAAATATTAAACCGGCCATCTGCGTATTCACATATGTATATGCACGTATGCAGTCTATCCTCACCATCAAGTTGTGTGCTACATCAAGACAGATTACAGGGTCGAACCAGAAAGGTCAATGGCGTAGATACTCGTGATCGATAATATAATAATCCCGCTACGATTCACATTGTATCCCTGAACAATGTTCCAGGAATGTCTCTAATCATTGTAATTCATATTATCCTCGATATTTATCCATCTATTATTATTTCAGTTATTATTGATCAATATGTTGCTCTAACCACGGACTCAAGGATCAAATAAAATTATATATTCCTTCTTATTACAGGAATTTGTAAATTAATCCAACATCGATCAGTTTACATGTATATTACAATCTAAGGATAGGTAAATTTATTTTCTTAATTCGGTTCTAGTGTCGGGCCTAATTTAATTCGTGGAACAGTAACGCAACGGTTTATTGAATAATGCACGAGGGTTAAAAGTCTTAATGAGTACCCCAAGGTGACTCGAAATGTGTGGTGTAACCTAGGTGGTTGTGATTTTATATAGAAAAAAGTAAATCTAGAATATAAAATAAAACTTTTTTTCCGGAGCTCTGTTTTCTTCTACCTATTTATTATACATATACACATTTTATGAAAAGTATTACGTACAATTTTATGCCCCTTGATGCCATTTAAGTTCCACGCCTCAAAATTTTCATAAAGTGTACCGTTAAGTCATTATTCGAAGTGATCAAGTTAGCTGAGACACCCTGTATACAGTACACGAGATAAACTTGTCTATAGCAGTCGCTATCGCTAACCTATTGTCCATAATAATCGTTCAGCTCTCGAGGACACCGCACTCAAATAGTAAGTAGCCACAAGAGGGAATGTTATTTCAAATAATTGACTACGTATTGTTTATTTCTCTCGATGAGCCATTATAATGCCTTTCGATATACAGACGCTTCCGTTCTATCGTTCCGAATAAGACATAAATACCTTGTTTTTATCTCTGATCTCAGGAAAACCGCGATTCAGTGAATTAAACTTCTACCGTCGTAAGGACGCAACATTAGTATACATCGGATAGATTTTTCCATAAATTTAGTTACCTAATACTCCGGCCGCGTACAGAAACTTGTTTGGAAACTAAAGTCTAGTTAAGGGATGCGTTAGCATAACGCCGGGCGAAACGGTGAATACGAATAATTCAACTTCCGTGCATCAGCTGCGGAACAAGTCCTTCAGAGATGAAACACATCCACCGGCAGGGTTTCTTGACTCGCCGCGAAAACTCGAAACTGTGTAATTGTACTCAATAGGGGCGAATTTACTTGGGGTGGGGGAGGCTTAATTAGACTGTGTTACGGTCGAAATTATCTAACTTTACACCGTCTCCGAAAGTTCCTTTCATTCTGCACGAGTATTCTACGCTATAAATGATAAATTCAACCGTCTATATCCGACTTGAATTACGGGAAAAATTCTTGTGCATGATATTTCACTGCACACAAAAGGCATTTACTATAGAGGCCGTTTGATTTTCATTAATGCAGGAACCATGTGGAAGGATCTATCTACATACATATACAGGGTGCCCCATTTGAACATTTACACGGAATTATCTCCTGATTTATTCGTTATTCCAAAGTAATGTTTCAGGTAGAACTTAGTTTGTTTCGAAGAGGACTAATAGTTCTTTATATTTCTAAGATAAAAATATTTTGCCACGGGTTGTATAAGTACTGAATGCAATTTCTACGAACATTTGCTTTATTTCACCTTGCTTCAAGTTACAAGCAGACCTGTAATTCAATAACTCTCGAAATATACTGAACAACCGTATCATTTTCATAGAACGGTATATTTAATCCCTCGGTTCGTAATATTAATAAATTACGTGTAGGGTTCTGTAAAGATTTCAAACTGAATCTAATGAATACGTGTATTATTCATTACATGGAATTCAAGGCGAAACAGAATTTCACTTACATTAAGATTTAATCTTTAAAGTATATGCATGCTTGCAATGAAGATAGATATCGGTTTTCCCGCGGTAAATTACGTGTAATAACTGAAAGAACTCTAGTGAGAGAAGTCGTGAAAGAAAATTTGGAGGCAAAAACATTTGATTTTTAGTTATACACCAGATATGAAATATTGTTAATAAAAGGATACCAATGAGTGCAATCCGAGTTATACTAACGTTAAGTTATATTAATTGTACCTTCACGTTTTGTAACAGGTTATACATACACATTCTAAGGGGAAACTATGACAGTACACGAAAATAATAAGAATATGGAACTGAAACCTTCATAACTAGACTGCGGATTTTTGTGCATTTAGAGCGACTCCTGACTTGCAGAACGTAGCAAAATAAAGATTCTCGTAAAATGTAACAGTATTTATGTGTTATTATTAACACATTAAAACCTCTAGTATTGGAAAGAAAGTTCTGTGCAAATTTGTTTCTTAAATATTAGTGTCCCAAATTCTACAAACTAATTGAAGAATAGTATAATATTACAATAATAGAAAATTCTTCGATGAAACGACAATTATTAAATTTAATAACGATGGAGTACATGTAGCAGGTAAATGTTGATTGTCATTTGTCTCTGGTTAGAAGAAATATAAAAAACAAATATTGGCAGTAATTTACATATGTCATAACGTGGTAACTTGTATAAAAATTGATTTTATCTGTATCTGTTATAAGAGAACTAATTTTTCTTCATTTATGCCCGTTCGTGATAATAATCTAGTAACGATCTTTTTAATTGTTTCTCTTAATTATTAATCATAATTATTACCTACTCAATGTAGCCACGATCGTTAATCACTCACATAATTAATCGTAAAGAAAATCTACCATCTGAACGAGCGTACCTTTTATAAAAGCTGGTGTAAAGTGTGGAGGACGTTGAAAGTATACTATAGAATATTAATTGCTATGGCTTTCCAGTGTCAGAAAGCGCGATTGTAAAGATTAGACGTTTCCAAATACAGCTCTAAGTTTACCCAACATGGTTCTTTACAGATACAGCAGTCAACATAGAGGAATTTTCGACTATATTAGAAATTATAATTGTTAACTGTTATTTACGGTACACTTTGTCCAATTATGAGCACGAATTATAAGTGAACATCGATTATTTGAATACTGTTGATCAAAACATCGCTAACTGGGACGCTGAATTAACGAAACAGTGATGTCTAACTATTAGCGTACTAAAGTAAATTGAGTACTTATAAAAAAATTTAGTATTAGTCTTTAAAAATTTAGTATTAGTATAGGTATTAGTCTTCTCAAGTCTCGCTTGTTTATGAGAATAGTGGTTTCAAATACACAGGGTGTTCCATTTGAATATTTACACGCAATTATCTCGTGAACAATTCATTATTCAAAGAAATGTTTCAAATACAACTCAATTTGTTTCAAAGGGAGCATCTTATGTTTTGTGACCATCATAAAATGTCCCCCTTGAAACAAAGTAAATTGTGCTTAAAACATTTTCTGCAATAACGAATAGATGGGAAAATAATTACGAGACACCCTGTGTATATATAATGGCGTGAAATTATTAATCGATATGTGCGTGTGTGTGCATCTGTGTGTTCTTAAAATGTACGATCCCCCATGAGAAATTGGGTATCGAAGGTCGAGGATCGAGGATCGATGTGTTCCGTTCACGAACAAGGAACCGAGAACTTTAACCAACGACGCGGCAGCATTCTTTGTTTCCTACAGCAAGGAAATACCTTCGCTCCCTATTTTTAGCTGTCAAAAAGGGATATTCCCAGCACGCTCGAGGAAAGCGGCTAATAGGGTTCTTCTTTGCAACCTCCTTGAGGGGCTGCAAGGAACCTTTCGTCGATCGTTAAAAATTTAAGACACTACAAAATAGTAGGAAGAAGCGGAAATCATTCACAGGGCTTAGCGGGGAAAATGTATGAAAACAAAAATTTTCATCTTGCTACTAGAGAAGCAAATATTACCATGAAAAATTATCGTTTTCCAGAACCAGATACATATTCGCTGGAAATGATCTATGACTACATTAATTGTAAATTACAGTTGTCAGGTTACCGAAACAATAATTCGTGTTGCTAATTGATTCATAGTTACGGAAACGTTCATTGTAATTCAATTCAATTCATAACATTTCATCTGTATGGACAATCAGAATTATGTAGTTTCAATCATATTTTCGAAACTACGATTGCAATATTAACCACCAAAGCACGACAAATAATTCGTTATCTAAAGAAGAGCTCGGAGCGAATCGAACTGATTCTGCGAAACCAAACGATAAGCAGCTTTCGAAGGGTATCTTGAACAAAGAATTAAGTAGGTTAATAATTCTATATAGGACACGAACTACCGCAATGGAAATTAACTCGATGGACTTTGAGAAATGGTTCCGTTCAAAATAAAAATACGCACAATCGATTTAATCGCGTATTCTGTTAAGTAATAAATCTGCGATTTGGGATTCCAATGCTTTCAATTTAATGTTGCTTTTGAAACGATATAAGATTCAAAGGAGGATGAGCTTAATTTGACGCTGCGTAAAGGATTTCATTCGCGATGAATGGACATGGTAGGAGAAGAATGGAGGTGGAACAAGAACCGTCTGGTAATTATGATACATTACTGTGCCGAGCTGATATTCAAAGATTAGTGAAAGAAGACTGTGTTGAAATAATTAGCGACGTAATTTCTTAAGAAAGTCCTGTATTTTTTAATATCTTATGACGGAAAATTCAAGTTTTCGTGGTAATTTAGAAAATATTGTTCAAAATTATGTCAAAAATATGAGTTAATGTCAATTAATCAATGAACATTGATCTACACTTACAAATAGACTGCGGATGTTTATGCAAAATGACATTTCATAAGGTAAAAAAGAAACGGAAGAATTAAAGTAAGAATTTTCTTCTACTCTTAAGTACCTCACTGGGTTCAGATTAAAATAGAAAATCCATTACATCTGATAAAAGTTTGACCTTTTATCATATTCCACAGAGCTCTAGTGGACTATAAATGCATAAAATCCACAGTTTATTAATAAACTTGTTTAAGAAATGACGACTGTAGTGACACAAATGATACACCCATTATAGCAGTACGTTACCATAAGGAGGACTGTTAAATAATTCACTGTCCATAGAAACAGGCTGTCGAAGACAATCTCTGTCAGTAACATTTCCACTAAAGAGATACTACTTCAAACCCTCCCCAAACTTAATATCGGTAGTGTATATCATAATCTCATCAAGAAAACAACAAATTGCTGATCGATACGCTAGAATGAAAACGACAATACACACCGTCCAAGAGGCAAAAGAATCAATGCAAAAACATAATTTCTCTAAACTACCACGGAACCATCGATCAAGTCAACGAGGGGAACACCAATTACTACATGGATTCAAAACAGAGTTGGGCAGAATTTTATTCCAATAATAATAAGTGAAAAGCAGCAGTACCTAAGGGCGTCGTCCTGAGCTTTAAACAGCTTTAAATAATTATTCGAAAAATATCGACTCATTCATAAAGGAGTATTATTTCATTATAAAAATTGAAATTTCCAAGTTTAAACAATTAAAAGTAACGAAATATTCTTTCTATCTTTCATTCGTTATTCGAGACTCTTTATCTAGATAACGAGTTTGCCCATCTCTGATTCGAAATGAAGTAGACAAATTTTCACACGGTCCCTTTACGCCTGATAGCACAGTCGATCCGGGTGTACCTGAATGGGTGCACTTCTTGTGATTGTGATGACCCTGGCAGTTAACATGGTGCTCGTGGGAGTGGTGCGCGTGATGGTACTGCTGCTGCCGTTGCTGATGCTGGTGCTGGCTGATCGGCGACTTGAGGACACTCAGCACCAGGTCCTCGTGGGACGGCACGATCCTCGTGAGCTGACGGCTCTGTCGGAACAACGTCTCCTGCTCGCCTCTGTTCATTCTGCATCCAATTCGTCGACGTTGCAAATAAAATCCCGGATACCATTCGTGTCTCCCTCGGCCCGGACCACTACCTAGCATAACAGCGTGCAGCATCCCGAGGCTGTCTTGCTGTTCGTGCTCGGCGAGCAACCGTTCACTTGTCGAACGACCAGCCGAGATACTCGTCTGTCCATGGTCGTCTTGTGGTCCGCAACCACCGGGCGATTTGCACTTCGTCGTAATCACGTGTCCACGGTTCTGAAACTGGCGAAACTCGAGAGGGTTGGAACGCGATTCATCGAATTTGGAGAACCTAGGATACCGATCCTATCGGTGGATCGTCGTTAAAAACATTCGATAGCAGGATATAGAGAAGGAAATTTAGCTCCGGATGACTTGGGTTTACTTTATCTTCTAGTTGACTATGGATGACGTTACAGAGATTGCATCGCTGTTGCACATTGGGTAAGGATAGAGGCGTTTTCTTTCGCTGGACGATCTGTAGAGAGCTCCTTTTAGAGCACCTTATTATGGTCTTCGATAAGATTCCCCGTGGTTGCCGCTTGGAACGGAGCTTCCTCGATTTTGTTTCTCTATTTGTTTTCCGCTTCTATCCCCCGTGGACGTTCGAGCAAATTCGCTGGCCGTTTAGCTCGATTCGTTCTCTCTTCGTCCTGCAAACGTGTGTTTTTTTTCATGTGGTCGCGGTACCATTCTCTTGTTCCTGGTTCAATTCAATCCCACAGAGGCGATTAGTTCTTGTAACCAAGGGGAGTTCCCCCCGTCCCGGGACAATCTACTGTGTCAGAGTCAAACGATCCCGTGGCTGGTAACGGAAACGTCGTGCATTGTAGTCACGTTTGGGAATTGAATGGAAAACTCATGTGAAAAACAGTAACTGTGGGAAGGAGAGACGCGTCGATGCACCTAAATACTGTTCGCGGAAGATAATCGATAACTAACGGTGCACTTGTCGAAGCTGTGTCAGTTCGTCAACTTCTCCAGAATCGAACACTGAACGTTCATCGACGACGTGTTCACCGCAAGATTCTTCGAATCGTTCGTATGCATCGTTTGTATCCAAAAAGTTTTCTTATACTCGATTCGTAATATTCGTTTCGTTGTGATAAATCTTTCTCGATGAAAAATTCACTTCGCAACTCTTTTAAATGGACTGCAGCTTTTTGCCTGCCGCGGGAATGCCAAAGGCGTGATTGTCATTCTCAAGAAGTGCTGGATTCCTCCTCGTCGAGTACCGCGAGACGAAACGACCAGTTCGATCTCGAAGTCTGTCGAGACTTTAGTCCCGAGAATTTTCCAACTTTCTCGATCCTCCCCGCGACGAAGATCGAGCAGCAAAGTGTTACTTCCTTACGCGGTGCGACACACCGTCGAAACTAAACGTGCGCGCGTTGGTATACTTTCGAAATTGCTTCACGGTTAATTATTGCCTGCGGTGAATGTGGATCACAGAGAATCACAAGTGTTTCGAGAAACACCGGGACAAGGTGTTCCGGCGCGCGGCGAATTTCCCAGAACCTCGAGACGCTTCTCAGAGCACCGTCGAAAAGTTCACCGACGATGCCTCGAGATCGCTGTTCCTCGCACTCGTCCCGCACGAACTTTGTTTACAGAGGCAAACTTTTTTCATTCAGCGTTACCGTGGCCCAGTTTCACGCCGGACAACGAACGCGTTGGCGGGACAGAAAAGTCCCAGAAATTCTGTTCTTCTCCAGCGAGATCCGCGACGGCGTGAACGGAGACGATGCGTTTCCCTCGTGCTAAAAAATGCCCATTTATTATCGGCCTCCGCCGGTTGATACCGACCTCGGCTCTCCTACACGTTCTCCCGTGTGTCCTTTGACCTTTCCGCGACGTCGCCTCACCAGTTTAAGCGTTTCATGAATCTTTCAAACGGAACCCGACGCTGTTCCGTTTCGACAATGTCCCATATAATCCTCGTCGTCCTATATCGCGTTTATAAATTCCCGATGTTCAGCTCGAGACCCGACAATCTCCCTCAAATCCTTCGTGCTATACTCATTTGCGACGGTCCGGTTCACCGTTAATAAACCAGAAATCAGCCTACAGGGAACGACAGTCCATATACGGTCAGATATATCGCTTCTCTTTCAGATCTTGCCCGTTACCTAGCGGATGAACGGATTTTATCGAGCCTGGTTCACGCATGCTGGCCCCCCCTCCGCCCCCACAGAGCAAAATTTAACGGCGTTCAGAGAGAGAGAGAGCAATCTTAGATATTCCAGGCTGAATATTCTCGAGTGGTCCAACAAGACGAGCGCAACTTCTATCCCCTATCTCAATTATTCCCGTCATACTTAATGTATTTAACGACAGGATTAACAGAAGAGTCGTGAATAAAGCTTCCTTTTACGAACTAGCTTCGCCGTCTCCAGTCGTTAAGATCGACCAACCACCCCAAGTAACTCGGGGCCGGCGTAAAATTTTAATTGAAACCTCTCCGAGGATCCACCGTTTCCTTTGACATTCAAGATCCTGCTATTTCGTTGCAACCGTCTAAATATGGAGAGATCGGTCACGATGCAATCCTCCCCGAATGCCTTTTCTCGCCGGCGCGTCCAAGAGGCCTTTATCTGTCCTGCGCCCTGAAAAGCGCGCAACCCACCAGCGCGCGTCTTCACCCCCGAGCCTCTCTTCAATCGCCCTTAACGTCCCGTGAAACTGTTCCCATTCCTTTCAGTTTCGGCAAATTCTTACGAAAAACCCGCGACGCTATCCCGTGTTCTATCCTCGGTCGATCCCTTCGATCGCTCCCGCATGCTTTCGCCCATCCGGAGCCAGAACCGATGCGACTACACTGATAGGGCGCCTCGGTCGAATTGCCGCGGGAACGATTCCCGTTCACCGGTAGACGAATTGTAACTCGAAATTTCGCCAAGGAAACGTGTCCTTCTTTGTGAAATGTCGTAGAATTGGAATTCGACACGATGGAAAAAAGTGTCGTGAGTGAAACGAATGGAAATGTAATGTCGAGCGTGAACGTTCTTCCTCGACGATGATAAAGAAAAAATTGCACCAAATTCCTTTCACGATAACCGCGAACAGAAGACGGATAAACGAAGGAAATTTTTTGGGGAGAAAATATTTTGGTTCCAACGGCGATGGAGGATCATCACCGTGGTCCTCTAGTACCACTCACTCGACGGAAGCACAGTAAACACGAAATTCTGTTCGAAATGTTCCCACCCAGGGAGGTGATTTCGACGCGCACCTGTACGATCACGCAATCTCACGGGGACACGAGGTCGCGTTCGTGGAGGTCGAAGTCGCGTAATGTGCTCATGACGACAGCTCGCAACCAACTGTGGCTCTTGGCCACCCTGTAGTTCCGCCTCCCACCGCAACCCCGAATAGGGGTGGCTCGGCGCTTGCACGCCGCGCACCGTTTAGAAATCAGAAGAAATGTTTTCATCTCATCCCCCCTCCGACCCCCTCGCTGTCCAGAAGTCTCAGGTAGAATCGCTCGTCCGAAATTATTCCAATTCTCGTTGCGTTCGTGCGGATATACGTACAACAAATGAACGAATAAAATCATACGCGTCGATTCGGGTAATTTAATTCTTTGGGTCATGAAACCAATGACATTTTAATTGTGAGAATGAATGGTTATGTTACAATTATGTACTCTACCTGTGATAAATATCCAAACACTTGGTTGCGATGACAGTACAGAAATGTGTTAATTAGTGATTAATTTGTCATTTTTGGTTGTGTATGAAAATTAATAATAGTAGATTAAAATTATACATGTAATTTCCTGATACAATCGTCAGTTTTAAATATCACTGTTTTACCTAATCCTTTCTATCGGAATTTTAATTGTCTGTGAATTAAACTATTATTGTGCTATATATGTATATAGTTTATTATACGGTGGCATAACAAAAACGAAAAATAAAATCATTCTAGGAGCTTCTGTCTCACGTTTAAAAACATAGTTTAAATTTACTATAAAAATTATAAGAATTTATTTGAGTTTAGACAGGAAGTTATATCTTTTATATGATACTGTATTATGCTAAATTCTATTATCCATTATTAGTTTCTTATATAATTTAATTTAGTATACATTCAACAATGTTAGATCTAGTGTTGAAGGAACTAGCGTTATTAACTATCGTTATCGAAAAGTACATTTCATCTATGAATTTCTCATACAGAACGGAATCACGGTCGGTGGTGAAAGACCCGAAGATACGAGGCTACTACCGGTAATCCCTACTTTTATATCGATTGCCACTCAGCTACATGTTACAGCCGCCAAAAGGCTGCTCCAATACTTTCGCCAGAAGTCATTTATCGGTTGAACCCGATTCATCATGTTAAGCTTGAAGCTTGATTAGATACAGTGATCATAAAATTGAACTGGGTGAATGAAGTTATATTATGGGCTGCGGTCAATAAATATGACGCTACAATATACACATATAGCAAATGATGTGTAAAATAGACATACAAAATTAATCTTAATATTGAGGCATCGATTTTATGAAATGAGCATAATGTTAAATTAATGGGGATCGATTTAAATGACTCATCTTATTATATCCTAACTGAAATAAATTACTATTATGAATGCAAACAGGGAACAGAAATAGGGAATAAAAAACGACACCATGAAAATTCATTTTTTTAAACAGAAATAGTTTAGCTTGCTATCGTGTATTTCTACGATAAAAATTTTCCCTAATTTTCATTTGAGTGTTTAATACTGTACGTTGAACGATCACATGCAGCTCCAGAAAAGTAATACAACATGTATTCGTCCCAGCACTTTTCCGTTTCGAAAGGACGTAAAGATTTATCATCGTCCAAGGAAAGGTTATATAGAACGCTTCAAGAATTCCTCGGGGACGCATTGCTCGTTTTTCCGACGATGGAAAAGAATTTCTGATCCCGCTGTCAGAAATATCATCGCGAAATGGATACTGAAAGTCATAGATATCTAGGGTTAATGTAACGAAAAATAAGTCTATAAACAAGTAAAATGGAGCTACACGTTTTTTACAATGAGATTTCCCATGGAAAGACCAGCCTTTTTAACAATCATATACTGCAAATACTGAATCTTT